GGTCGTTTCCGTCGTTGTTGTCGCCGTGGTCGTCCTTCCTTATCCTCCTTCGTCTTCGTCGTCGTCCGTCGTCGGCGTCTCGTCGTCGTCCCTCCTATTTCGTCGCCGTCGTCGTCATCGTCGTCGTCGTCGTCTTCCCTCCTCCCTCGTCGTTGTCGTCTACGGCGTCGCCGTGCTCCCTCCTTCTTCGTCGTTCGCGTCGTCGCCGTCCTCCCTCCTCCCTCGTCGTTGTCGTCGTTGTCGCCGTCGTCGTCCTCCCTCCTCCCTCGTCGTCGTCGCCGTCTTCGTTGGCGACGTCGTCGTATTCGTTGTCGTCGTCGTCGGCGTCGGCGTCGTCGTCGTCTTCGTCGTCGTCGTCGGCGTCGTCGTCGTCGTCGCCGTCGTCGTCGTCGTCGGCGTCGTCGTCGTCGGCGTCGTTGTCGTCGTCGTCGTCGGCGTCGTCAATGTCGTCGTCGTCGGCGTCGGCGTCGGCGTCGTCGTCGTTGTCGTCGTCGTCGATGTCGTCGGAGACGTCGTCGGTGTCGTCGTCGTCGGCGTCGTCGTCGACGTCGACGTCCACGTCGCTGTCGTCGTCGGCGTCGGTGTTGTTGCCAAGTGCCATTTGGTACTTACCGTCACGGTCTTAAGAGGTTTTGCAAACCAAGTTGCGGGTGGGTTGGTGGGATGTTTGCAAGAGCATGGGATCTGTCAAGTCATGGGGTAAAAAATCAGTTGCACTACATAGATTGCACCACGTCGGCTCTTACTCATGAAAGGAGTCCGCACTTTAACCACCCGCCCGCCCTGGTTTCACGACGTCCCTCGGGGTCGGGCAGTTTATATATGATGTTGCCCAATCGTTCACCTTTCATACATTCCCAGGGGGGGGGCGAGCTTTGTCGACCCCTTCGCCATCACTGTCAAGTGGTGCTATGCGCGCGCACTCGTTTATCAAACATCCGAGGTTTCCGGACATCCCTGCGACAAATTGGACCACGCCCGTGCGCGCGCGCCGTCGCGCGCGAATGCATAATTGTTTTAAGGTGTTCAGGTTCCGTAAGGATTTCGAGATTGAGGTTTTGCAGCGGTGTTACAGCACGGCTGTCCACAACAGTTTACACACGCGCGGCCTTGCGAAATATTGAAGAAACCATCATTTGTTTATCATGTTCATCACATGTGACCATGAGGTTTTATTCGCGCACGGATGCCAAAATACTTCGAATGATTTTGCGCGCTTGCTCTGGGGCACGACCGTTGTCAAACAATACGGCGCGGGCCATCCTGCATCGGCCGCGCGCGCATATGTCGAAATCGCTCCAAAACCTTCATCACCGACGCGAGAGCGCCGTCATCGTCGTCGGCGCGATAGGTATCGGTGCCGTCACTGGCGGTGCCGTCGTTACTGTCATCATTGTCGCCAGGATTGTTGTTCTCATCATCGGGTCTGCCATTGTCGACCTCGCCATAATACCGCGCCCGCCCGAATCATCGACTCGCACTGAAGTCCCCAACGGTCAGCGCCGTCGCAACGCGGCGGCCGCGCAAGACCGGCTGGCCGCATTGCGCGCGGGCTCGTGCGCGGTAGCGCGGCCATGGCGACGCGCCAGCCATCGCAAAGCAGTCATCGCAGGTGGGTTGGTGGGATGACTGCGCGAGCAGTGGAATTGACAACGCACTGCGGACAAACCACGATTGCACCACATCGATCGCACAACATGGGTTGCACCGCGTTGGCCAACGCACGCACACACACATATGCACAAGAACATACCAGCACACGCATAAGTGTATATGCACAGATTCCTCTTCCTATATTTTTACAAGTCCGGGCGGGGGGAAATCCCCGTCCCCCCCCCCCCCAAAAACCGGACTCCTGGGATCTGGGGTTTTGCCCTCCGGACGGGCCTCGAAGCGGCCCCCAGATCCTTGCAGGGCGTTTTGCCAAGCCTTCCCAGCACACCTAAGGCGATCAAGAGGGTCATCGGAGACGTCCCAGAGACCCCCAAGACAGCACAAGAGCGCTTCAAGAGTGACCGACGTGACCTCAAGATGGCCCAAGAGGCCTCCAGGACGGCCCCAAAGAGGGCTCCAAGAGCATTTCCAAGAAGGCCCCCCGAGGCACAAATCATTGATTTTCTATTGGTTTTTGGTGAATGCTAGGGTTCTCCTCTTTTCCGCTTCCCGACGTTCCAAGACGGCGGTCTTCTGGCGTCCGAAGCCGCCTGGGAGGCTCCAAAATCGCCCCACAACCATCCGAAAGAGCTTCAGGCAGTCCAAGAGAGCCCCAAAACGGCACAACACGGTCCCTGGTTCGGTATGCAGGCGGAATAGCAGGAAGGTCAAGCCGTCAATTTTGCGATAACTCTTGGTCGCCTTTTCTGGCATCGCCGCTATAATCATGTTATTCGTTATCCTTCCTCCGTGTTTCTTTTTCCTTATTTTCGCCATACCCTGGGCATTCTCCCCGTCCTCCTCAGCTCTTTTTTGCGGAGGCTCCTCCTTGGAGAGCCTCTAGGGGCCTCACAAAAGTTGTTTCAGGCTTTCTTAAGGCCTTCTGGAGACCTCCTGGGCGTATTCTGGGGGCCTCCGGGGGCTTCCTCGGGCCACCCTGCCTCCAATCGCGGTCTCCCTGAACGACCGAATCACGATTTGGAATTCTTCGGAGGGTGTCGTTGGGCCATCTTGGGCCGCCATGGGGCTCTCTGAGGGTCATCTTGGACCCTTGTTGTGCCGTTTGGGGGCCCTCTTGGATTGCTTGGAAGCCCTTTCGGATGGTTGTGGGCCGATTTTTGAGCCTCCCAGGCGGCTTCGGACGTCCAGAAGACCGCCGTCTTGGAACGTCGGGAAGCGGAAAAGAGGAGAACCCTAGCATTCACCAAAAACCAATAGAAAATCAATGATTTGTGCCTCGGGGGGCCTTCTTGGAAATGCTCTTGGAGCCCTCTTTGGGGCCGTCCTGGAGGCCTCTTGAGCCATCTTGAGGTCACGTCGGTCACTCTTGAAGCGCTCTTGTGCTGTCTTGGGGGTCTCTGGGACGTCTCCGATGACCTCCCTGATCGCCCTCGGTGTGCTGGGAAGGCTTGGCAAAACGCCATGGGAGGCCCGGTGGCCGCTTCGAGGCCCGTCTGGAGGGTCCCAAAGCCATAGATCCCAGGAGTCCGGTTTTTTTGGGGGGGGTGACGGGTTTTCCCCCCGCCCGGGCTTGTAAAAATATAAGAAGAGGAATATATACAGATGTATATGCATATATACACATCTGTACATATAGATCCATACATACGCATGCGGGCCCCAGGCGGGGCCGAACATATCCACATGCACCGCCTGCCGAGTTTCCCCCGGGCTGTGGCGATGTAGAAATCCCCGCCTCGCAAGAACGGGGTGGGGAGGGCGGGGGGGGGTCCAGCACAGACCTGCACAAACCACCGCGCGCACCCCCGAAATTCAATGTTGGTGCCGCTCCTGCGTGCGACGACCTGCGGGGTCCACGTCGAGCACACGGGGCGGACACGACGAGCACGCTGGTGAGCACGGGTCAGCGGAGGAGGGGCACACGTCGAGCGAGGTCCCACGCACGTGTCACGACGACGGAGCATTAGGCGCCGCCAATTTGCGCGGCCGTCCGTCGCCACAGCCCGTTTTTGCGGATCGCGCGGCCCCCCTCGCGCCGCGCTGTTTCCTTGTCTCCCGTACGTATTCGGGAGACCCACGTCACGACGTCCAGTCCCATCTCCCCGCGACTCCTCTCCCTCCTCCCATTCCCTCATCCTTCTCCTCCTCTCCCACCTTCTCCTCGTCTCCCTTCTCCTCCTCCTCCTCCTCCTCCTCCTCCTCCTCCTCCTCTCGCCTGCGTGTGAACCCTCAGTCTTTTAAAACTCACTCGATAACCCTCGGCGGCGTCAGCCACGGCGAACAATTTCGTTCCGCGTTCCTTCATTTATCCTCCTCCTCCTCCTCCTGCTCCTTCTCCTCCTCCTCCTCCTCCTCCTCCTCCTCCTCCTCCTCCAGATCGAGAGTCCTGAATGTGTTGTATGCTTCTGACCCGCTCCAGTCCTCGGGCGAGCCTCTGGGGACCCCCGGTACCCTCCCCGCTCCCGCCGTGTCCCCTGGGGAGGGCCCCAGGGGCGCCGACAGGCAGAAGCAACGAGTTTCCATCCCGGTTGCCTCGATACGCCCGTCTCGAAACGCAACACGTACCGTCAAGGCGCTGAAGAAGGAACCTTGTCGTTGGGGAGGGGCTCGGTGTTCCTTGACTGCTGTGCAGTTTGCCTCAGGTTCCCCTGAGGTTTTCCATGGGAAGTCGAAGTTCAACTTCTGGGAAAAAGGGGGCCTTGTTCCTCATTTAGGCTTCCTTGGGCAAGGGCTCCCTCGAGGGCGCGAAGTTATTCGCGCTTCGCGGTCCTCGTTCCTTCTCCCCCTCCTCCTCGTCCTCCTATTCTCCCTTTGGGAGGGCGGCGCGAGAGCGCGAAGTTATTCGCGCTTCGCGCAGCGCGAAGCGCGAAGTTGGGAGCCCTAGTTTAGGCTTCCTTGGGTCAGCGCCCCGACTGTGCCGTGCTCAAGATGTCTGTGTCAACACGTTCGGGTTGCCTCGGCACGTGTGGGCCCACGTTGCGGAAAGCGCATCGCGCCAGACCTACGTTTCCCAAGGGCTCCCACGAGGGCGCGAAGTTATTCGCGCTTCGCGCTTCGCGGTCCTCGTTCCTCCTCCCCCTCCTCCTCGTCTTCCTCTTCTCCCTTTGGGGGGGCGGCGCGAGAGCGCGAAGTTATTCGCGCTTCGCGCTTCGCGCAGCGCGAAGCGCGAAGTTGGGAGCCCTTAGTGTAAACACGTTCGGGTTGGCTCGGCACGTGTGGGCCCACGTTTCGGAAAGCGCATCGCGCCAGACCTACGTCTCCAGTCCTCGTGCCGAGCTCGGCATCCGTGCGCTGCGTGTTGCGTGCTGCGTGTCGGGGCAGCTAGGGTCCCCACACGGGGGCGCTCGTTGCTTGCACTGGCGCTCAAGAGCGCCCCTGCGCTCCAGGATGGCTGCCCTGCGCGCGCCACGACCGGGCCCAGCATTTCGCGGTGGAGGAGCCGTGCAGTCCACGCTCCGGAGACGACGTCGGCCACCCGAGGTGTGCCCAGCGAGGAGCTCTCGCCCTGGGGAGGCCCCACCGGGGCCCGCTGCCACACCCCTAGCGGGCATCGGACCGGGGACGTCCGAGGCGATCGGGCGCCTGAGGGGTCGAGCGTTCGCTGGACGGCCTGCCCCCGAATCTGCTGCTGCCGCGCGCCCCCTTCCCGCCGCCGGTCTGGGTCCTTTCAGCGCGTCGGCTTCCGGAGCGTTCGACCCCGGCTGGCTTTGCTCGGAGGCTTGGCCTTATAAGTCTTGGGGAGGACGTCCTGGCCACCAGAGCAAGCTCCGCCTCGGGCTCAGAGTTTGCCGTGGGCCTGCCGTGGTGTCGGTTTTCTCTGCTTGGACGCGTCGGGAGCACACGGCGCGGCGACACGTGCACTTTCCGGTGCTGGCTGCCTGCAGTTGGCCTGGGGGCCGAAACGTTTCAGGGGACCCTCGGGTCGCCCGCACGTCCCCTCGAAACTCAGCGGGGCCGCCTGGTGTTTGCCCGGGGCGCCGGAGGCCTCGGCGAGAGGTGGCGGTCGTGGCGAGGGTGTCCCGCGGCCTGCGGGGGCGGCGACGCGGGGGGACGAGCCTGGTGCATCGCCCATCGGAGCCTGCAGCTGCCTCAGCCTACGCGGGGGCGCGCGGCTTCGTAGCTGCAGAGCGTGTGTCGCCGATCCGTCGGCGGCGCATTGCCGATTCCCACGCGACGTTCTGCCCCTCTCCCAACCAGCTCGTGCCGGACGAGACTCGGGATACTGAAAGGGCGGAGGGGTACAGGATGGGCCTGTTTTCCACCACCACCACCATAATGTGGAGGGGGGAAGGAAGAGGAGGACGAGGACGAGAAGGAGGAGGAGGAGGAGGAGGAGGAAGAGGAGGGGGACTCCCTCCCCCTTCATCGTATGGTGGTGGTGGTGGAAAACAGGCGCATCAGTACAACAGCTGCTGCGTGCAGCTGGTTTCTTATCTGCCGCCGGGCGCTCTCCTCAATCGATCCAGTGGCGCCTCCAGCGCCCAGAGGCGCCCAGACAACCGGCTGTCTGAGCCGATTCGCTAACCTTCAGCCGGGCCTGTCCCTCTACAGGGGGAATATTCAAACTTAGTCAAAAATAGTCAGGGGACGATTTGTTTTTGTTTGCCATTTTTGATTTTTTGTTTTGTTTTTCATTTGTCGTCCAAAATCGGTCTGTAGGGGGACACGCCCGACCACTTGATCCACTGACCCTCCTTTTCCTTCGACCTGGCGAGCCAGACCCTGGACGTCGTGATTTCTCGATTCTGTGGACCCTGGGCCCCATCCTCAGCTCTTCTTGACTGTCCCGGGCACGGGCAAGAACACCCGGGGGCCGAACAAGGGAAGACCCGTCCGTCGCTTTCTTTTGGTTCACGACGCGAGGGGTTCTGGGAGGCCACGTCACCCGTGTCGCTCCCCCGCAGTCCCGCGTTCTGCGCGCCAATGGCACTTTACGCATGACCTGGCTCGGGGGGCCCGCCGTGATCCTGTGGCTCTGCGCTTGGGCGCCGGGCCTTGCCCGCGGCGCAAGCTGCGGAGCTCTTGGGGGGAAGGCGGGGGACCAAGGAGTGAGCGCCGAGATTCGATGTCTGTTCACGTGAGCCTTGGGCGCCTGGGCGGCGACATCGAAATCAGCTTGACCCGCATTTGGACTGCTCTTCCTGCTCCTGCTCTCCCTTCCTGTTCCTCCGCCCCCTCCTCGTCTTTCTCGTCTCCTTTGTGAAGCGGCGAATCTGGTCCAAATCCGATTCAAATCCGGTCCCCAATGTCGAAATCCGGCCCAACTGCAGCCCAATTCGGACAGCGCTGGGGGTTGCGTAGGTTCCCATGCATAGAGCGGACACCAAACAGAGAGGGAGCGTAGAGGACGCGCATACATCGAATTTCAGGCCCAGCTTCCATCGAATATCTTTCTGATGGCGCTTTCCGTCGCCGAATCAGGCGGCATTGGCTTCCTGTTGAGGGGGGTACCTTCCCCGATCCGTGGATCCGATCTGGCGCCCACGCGCCAGATCCTCCCGTAGTCTACCTCAGCGTGTGCCCGCGGGCGAGGTCGTGAAGGGGAGGGGAGTGGCGGGGAGAGGGAGCAAGGAAGAAGGGTTCGTCAGAGAGTGTCGCGACGAGGGCGGCAGCAAGTCGCGGGACACCCGCGCGAACGTGAGAGGAGGCGAAGGAGGAGGGGGAGCTGGAGAAGGAGGAGAAGGAGGAGAAGGTGGGAGGATGGGGGCGAGGAGGGGGAGTTGAAGGAGGAGGAGGAGGAGGAGGAGGAGGAGGAGAGGCCGGAGGAGGAGGAGGAGGAGGAGAGGAGGAGGGAGGAGGAGGAGGAGGGGAGGATGGGAAGGAGGGAGGGAGAGGAGGAGAAGGGGGAGACGGAGAAGGAGAAGATGGGGGGAGGACGACCACTTTGACGGTGATGGCGACCACGACGATGCGACCCCCCAGAGCCGAGCGGAGATTTCCGCCTTCAGGGCAGTGGACTAACATCACAATACATGCAGAAGCCACAGGTTTGGTTGACCCCTCCTCCTCGTGTGAAGCGGACGAGGACGGGAATGCGGCGGCGGCGGAAAGGAGGTCCAGCTACCTGCAGGCCTGCAGTCGGCCGCGTCTTCGTCGACGATGCCGGCGTCGGTGACCCTGCTGCCCCTGCGTAGAGGGGCGTCCCCGCCTTGTCCCCCCCCCCCTTTCCTGGCCCTGGCCTTCACCCAGCCGGCGCCGTCGGCGAGGCCGACTGCCAGGGCCCTCCCAAAAGCCAGGACATTGCTAAACCGGGGCTCTGTAAATCCCACTTGGGGCGGACGAAGAATGGAGAACGTTTCTGTCTACAGCTTTGCTTTCTCTCGAGCGCGGCAACGCCTTGGTTGATCAACGTCCCCGTCTACGACTGGAGCCAGCTGGGGTGCTGAGGTGGTCCAGCACTGGCTCCGACCAGCAAAACGGGAGGAGAAATGACCCTTCTCGTCGCCACGGCTGAACGCTGCTCGAAGAACGCATCGGGTTCGGCCCCGGAGGGATCTGGGGACCGATTTTGAGCGGTTGTGCGCCCCTCCACTTGCGAGCAATATTCATATCCATATCCATTGCGTCTTGAATTTCCTTGAAAGGGGCGCCGCAAGGCCGACGCGCACTGGATACGGGCAAAAATCGAGCCTCTAGGGACTGGATGTTTTTCCATTTCCAGTGCGCCTCTGGTTTCTTGGGAAGGGAGCCCGAAACCCAAGCGTCCCAAACAAGGATAGTTAGCGACGCAGTCCAAAGCGCGTGAAACGCTTGTAGGGGAAGTCTGCAAGGACGCTGGAAAGGATGCTTGGGGAGCTTGCAAGCTCAAGACAGGAGCTTCGGAGAAGCTCCCAAGCAGCTTCAAAGGAGCTGCATAAAAAGGCTTCCAGCACGCGTGTTGGGAACGAATGGGAAAACGCTGTTCGGGACCCGCCGCATCTGCAAGCAAGCTGCTGCGACGTTGCTTGACCGGCGCCTTCAAGAGGTGCCAGGGCTACCCTGTGTTGCCGGCTTGTAATCTGGAGCCCTCTGAGCTCCCAGACCC